CAGAGAGGTTTGAGGGACTTTGCTGGCACTGCAACAAACCTGGGCACAAGAGAGCTCAATGCTGGAAACTTCAACAAACTTCGAGAGGTTACTAGATTCGGTATTCTTGTACATATAAGACGGTCAAGACGTGACGGCAATAATGGGTAATTGAACTGCGGACAGAGAGAGAGAATATTGTTGAGTCGAGCACATGAGACGTTCGTTGTTAACTATAGCGTTCGTTATAGCGCGACTGTGGAAATTAAGTGTATTGCAAAGTTGTATTCCGAAAGAATAAACCAGTTTTATTTAAGAAAGGACTTGTATCGCTAAAGTTTCATCGGAAAGAAATTTTACGGAAAATTAACCAACGAACGGAGGCGTAACAACAATAAAAACCAACCTCATTTTCAATAACAAAAACTTTCTTCAAGCACATGGTGCATGAGCAACCTTGTTTCACCTATTCTCGCTAACATATTAATAACATAGAAGAAAACACAAATCTTAAAATCCTTGCTTTATCTTCCCCTATAGTGGTACAGATATGTCGAGACACTTTTAGTGGTTTCACTTCTACCAAACACATACACACTTTCTTTGAACACATAAACTCCATTTACCTTAACCTTAAATTCACCAATGAACACGTGTCGCGGGTTCGAATTTCCGTTCCACCAAACATGCTTGCCCTTTTAGCTGTGGGGGCGTTATAATGTGACGGTCAATCCAACTATTCATTGGTAAAAGAGTAGCCCAAGAGTTGGTGGTGGGTGGTGATGACTAGCTGCCTTCCCTCTAGTCTTACACTGCTAAATTAGGGACGGCTAGCGTAGATAGCCCTCGTGTAGCTTTGTGCGAAATTCAAAACAAACAAACCAATGAACACGAGAATAACAAGCAAGTATATTTTCTTAACTTTGACATTATTAGATCCGATACACAGCTCAAAACCAAAATTCACTCACACAGGCCTCTACATCCCCTAATTCTACCCATGAATCCAAACAAAAAATCGATATTGTTACGTCTCCGTTTGTTAATTAATTTTCCGTAACTTCGTTCCGACGAAACTTAAGCGACACAAGTTCTTTCTTAATAAAACTGGTTTATTCTTTCCGAATATAACTTTACCGATACACTCAACTTCAACAATCGCGCTAAACAAACGCTATAACAACGAACGTGCTCAATAATACTTCTGACTGCAGTTCAATTACTCACTATCTACCCACACGCATTACCTTCCCGCGTCACGTTGTCCCCCTTTTATATATATACCCGCCTACCCTATCTAGTAAATACTAGAGCATTCATGAAAAAACAAGATAGTTCTAGAAAAT